GGACCGCCCCCCCCGCCCCCCCCTTAGTACGCCACTGGGACTGCCCACAGGGTTTTGAAGAACAACCAATCAATACATTACAACACTGCTAAACACTCTCATTCATGACATCAGAAATCCTCCCCTCTGAAAATACAGTTTACAGTTTTTACAAAATGTTAATAACTTCCAAAATATGCATTCACATAAAACATACATTTTCAGAATCAGCACACTTGAAATATACACATACTCAAAAATCATGCAAATCCCTCCAGTAGTTCAAAAGTTAGTCGGGAGTTCTTTTCTGACCGACCGCAAGCACATTTCACACAAAAAAATGTCTAAGTCTCATTCGAATGCACAAATGGGCCTGTTCGTGCAAATAGTACAGCATCACCTGGCGTTCGAATTGTCGAATGCACTTCGACTTTAGCCGAAGCATCGAAGTGAATGAGAAGGTAAACTTCAGCGGTGTTCGTGCCGTCCAAGTAGCCAATTTCAGTTCCATGAAATCAACGGCAAAACACTGCTGACCACTTACCACTTTTGTTCAGCCTGTAAATTTACCGTTAATGACAACACCATATCAAAGGACTCCTTATCTAAGAGGGAATCAAGACACTTATGTGTGACTTCTCACACCTTACAGAGTAGCTCTGCTGGGGTCCCAGCTTCAAAGAGGAATTTGACCTCCCATACAATCAAATTAACCCCTTTTGAAATTGACAATACCACTTCTACCAGGCAGCCAGTTCATATATGCCCGAACATAACGTCGTGCGCTCAGATCAGGCCTATTCGGGAATATAATTTTTGTGGGGTTCCGATGCTGTTGTCATGTATTTTTGTGATATGTAAAAATTGTATGTGTTTTCCTATTTGAGAGATAATTGTATTAGCCTCATTGGAGCTCAACTATCTCTCAAGCACAAAGGCTTGTGGAAAGGGAACCCCTGTGATTTTGTATTAGAAACCCCATGCTAGGGGCACTGCATAAAAAGCTGAGTAGGGCCTAATAAAGTCAGATTGCTGTTTTTACCCAATATGACTGGTGGCGTCCATTATATTGGGGAAACCCTACACAAATGGAATACTTTCACTATATTCAGCACATCTGGAATTAGGTCTAGTGGAGGATTGAAGGAATAACAGCAATCGACTCACAAACCCGCAACAGGGAAAATACCCGGAGTAAAGGTAACCGGGAAAGTGAGGGTGAAGTGGCCGAACTAGTTCCAGGGAGTTCAAGGCCAAGTACCGCTGTTATTGTTCGGGGGAAACAAAATGCCTGCCATTTGCCAGTGAGCGTGCGTTCGGTAGAAGCAAAGTACTAAACAACGGGGAATACAGTTGGATCGGGCAAAGTGTGAGGTTTAACTTGGGGAAGGTCTTCACAAAAGATATTCAAGCACAAGTAATGTGCTTAGAAACAGAATACAGTAGTGGGAAAATATTGATACATTTAAGTCATATTATACATACTGAAAAACTACCTAAAGGTAGTTTTGTCCTGGTTATTGCCAAATCACCACATGAGTTTAGTTACTGCATAAATTCTTTAGAATACAAAGCATTTGTATAGTTAATAGAAACTGAAAAAAAGTCTGCTTTCCAAATACGTAGTAATTTTTTTTTTCTTCAAACTTCTATTAGAGTTAATGAATTGTTTGGCTGTGTTGTCAGGTTGTATATAAAATACACATTGCAATCAATTTTTTCCACTCTTTTTCCTTTTCAGGTTCGAGTAATCTTACAACCACAACTACGACTACAGGTATGTATTAATGTTCTTTGTGTTTCTGGGCCTTAATGGCCTTAATGACATTTTTGAAATTTGCTAACTTGCTAGCCATAATATCATGACTTTGTATTAAGTGCACCCACATATATAATATATTGTTTTTTTAAGATCAGACAACATATTCCCAGACAGAGAAATAATTTGGACTGGGCAATTAAAGGCAGAACAGTCCAATATAAGTGGGTGGTGCCAGAGAAGGGGCATATGCTGTTATCAGCAATGCGGTGCACTCCCCCACAAAGTGAGCATGTTATTTTCATGTCCTTGCACAGAGCCCTGCTGAAGGGCTATCACATGAGACAAATGCCATGTGTTTGTTTTAAACAGCCCAAGTAAATTGAATGATATGCTTGTGCTGCGTTTACTAGTAAATTGTCTCTGGTGTCAGAGGACAAAAATGGGACAGGGCTGGTAAAGGGTGTTGTCTATGTGTGGCTACCTGTAATGTCGTATGTGTTTTGAAGTTGCTTATGGAGTTGTGTGGTGTTAGAATGGTGTTTCTGATGTATGTGTTAAGAAGTCTGTTTGTAATTTATTATGTGTGTAGTGTGTATGTGTGTCCACTGGCTGTAAGATGTGTTTGCCCATTTAGGGGTCACAGAAGAAGAGAGAGTAAGTGTGTGTCTAGAGGGTGTAGTGTGTGTTTGTGTATGGAGTGTAGTCTGTGTAGTGTGCGTCTAGAGTGTTCAGTGCGTCTAGGGCTGTAGTAAATGTAGCTGTGTGTGTGTATAGGGGCTTCAGTGTGCAGGGCTGTAGTGTGTGTGCATGTCTATAGGGGCTGTAGTGTGTCTATGTGTATAGAGGTTGTAATGTATGTGTGTAGAAGATGTGGTGTGTATATAGGTTGTTGTTTTGGTGTGTGTGTATGGGCTGTAGTGTGTATGGGTTTTACAGCAAATAATTATTTTTGATAAATTAAATATTTATTCCCCCCTCGCTTTTGCTACCAGTGGCCAAAGAAGGGGTGGACATCCTGGTTGTCCTGTGCGCAGATTTCACTCTCCACCAGATGCACTGTGTTTCTTCATTTAGCTGCAGTACTGCTAAATAAGACCATTGTCATGGTAACCCATGCGACGCACTCACTGACCAGACCTTGTGGGAGCAAAGTACTTGGTCTGCAAATGCTTCCTGCTTCCTCTTGCCATGGGTGCATTAGGCTTTTGAGGAAGATCTCCCCACCAGCGCAGGAAGGAACTGATGTCCTTCTTTGGGCCAGCACTCACAGAACATTGACCCTGCACTGGCCTGTCGAGGACATCTTCTAAAAAAATTATCTTTATATCCTATAGGTCGGTTAGGCGGCTGCCATGGGCGCTTCTTAAAGGGGACTCTGGCAGCAGTTTTAATGCTTGTTTGGGCCCCTCTACATGGTACAAAATCTGCATTGCGTGCCACAGGTCATGGCACCGGGCACCAGGGAGCTCTTACATGGCTGCAGACTAGCCTCCGTGCCATCAATCTCAGCCCGCAAGGATCACAAAGAGCCGCCCCTCCTACATACCTCTCATATGCCAGCAGCGAAAAGGCACATCGCACGATCACAGTCTGTGTGTGTGTTTGGGTCTGTGTGTGTGTCTGCTTGGATCTGTGTGTGTCTGGATCAGTGTGTGTGTATGTTTGGGTTTGTGAGTGTATCCTCTTGGGTCAGTGTGTGTGTGTCTGGATCAGTGTG